CCACCTCCAAGAAAGGAGAACGATTGGTCGTCCACGCCCCCAAGTGGCCCGTGCACTATTTCTAGCAGCATGCCCTCGGCCCCCATGATTTGCGTGTCCTTCCCGACGTCGTAAATCTCCCTCTGCAGGCTGGGCCCCTCGACCTTTGGTCAAATAGCGAGCGGACTGAGAGAATGATGCTCCTAGTTTTTGTTCGCTTTGTTTGTTGTTGTTATTTTTTATTTGTTTGTTGTTTGTTGTTTTTTGTTGTTTTTGTTGTTTTTTGTTTTTTGTTTGGGGGGTTCCCCTGTAGGACAAGATGAAAATATGGATATTACTTTCTGGTCTGTTGTGCTCTTTACGCTCACTCAGCATGGCTTTGTCGAAGTCGTGAGACTCAACTCACGCGCCCTTCGTCGTCTGTGTTGTAATGGTTAGGGTTATGCTCTTCGCCGCCGTATGCTGTTGAGGTGGATTGGATTCTCAAGTGGGGCACATGTTTTGTTTTGGGGTTTTTGTGGGGGGGGGGGTTGTTGTTTTTAAGATTAAGTATCTCCATCTGCCTGCTGGAATACTGCGTCACGCCCAGACAGTGTCGAAGCTGTCCGCCTCCTACATAGCCCAGCTTGTGTCGATGAAGACGTAAAACGGTTTACAATCGTTACTGTACTGTCAAACAGGGGATTGAGATGGTCCCTGGTCTGTCTCATGGCCAAGAGAAAAAATCGCGTTATTTCCGCCTTGTATGTTGTGTTCTATGCTCGCACTGTACGGCTTTGAGAGACTCGACTCATACAAGTTGTGTCCATGGTGTTCTAAATTGTGCCAATTGCCCATCTAATCTTCGGCATTTACTTTACCTTCAGTCGAACCTGCTCTAGCGGCCACTTGTATATGACAATCGCCTGTACAAACAGCCACGTTTCATCCCTTCTTTTCTGTACATTATAATGTTACCATGTAAAATGTCCACCTCTTTTAAGACTATCTCCTTTCTCCACGGTAATGGATGGCTATCAGAGACAATTTTGACTGTATTTGTTTTCCATGTGCAGTTAATCTCTCATTTTTTGCTAAGACTAACAAAATAGTTGTCTAGAATGGGGCGTAAAAGATCATTTTAATTACTGTCAACCAGTTAATATCGAGTATGTCAGTGTTTTAGCGCCTATAATATGGCCGCTTACATTGCACTGTATGCTTCCCAGGAAGTTGAGATTGTCTCAGAATACTATCGGCTCTGCTGGAGTAATGACATATCATATTGTGAGGCGCATAGAGCTTCGCTGTTGAGCCTGAATTTGCGCTATACAAGTGCTATATATTATTGTATTAGTATTATCATTAGTAGTATTATTTATTACCATTATCTTTATAATTAATTATTATTATTACTATTATTATCATTATCATCATCATTATCTCCTCAGGTGGATGACCGTAAACTGAAGCCCAAACCACCTTCCCCTCCAGACCCCCATGAGTTGCTGTTGACGGACATCCGGGCACGGCCCAAGCTCCGACCTGTGAGGGACGGGAAACTTGTCGGTGAGTACTCTCCCCCCCCCTCCCTTGTCTCTCCCTCTCTTCCTTTCTGTCCTCTGCCACAATTAGACCCCCCTCCTTCTTTCCTATCCTCCCTTCCCCTTCCTAAAAAGAAAGAATGTTCCTTCTTGTTTACATTCTGGTTTTACTCTTTTTTTTAACCGATAATTTAGAATTTGCTGTTGAGCTATAAGCAAAGACCAAGTTATTCCCAGCTCCATCAACTTGGTTATTATTAGTATTGATCAGATCCGTGCATGTTTATCGTCTCACGTCTCCTCGTCTGCTTTTTGCTTTATCGCCCACAGGCGTATTGCCCTAATGCTTTTAACGTGCTTCTAATTACGTTTTTCTTATGTCAGACCAAGCACCCCACGCCATTGCATTCTCACAAAACAAAACAAAAAGAAACAAAATAAAAATGGCAACCTTTTTACCCCTTGACAAAACAAATCAGCCACGTAAACAGACTAAGTGGGTGGTTGGTGGGTGCTCTGGTGTGGTTTGCTCCTTCTTTCCTATCAAACATCTCTCGTCCTTAT